ACGTTATCCGGGTAATCGCGTAAGACAATTTATGACACGGTTGATCGACTTGAAATTTTTCAAAGTGCATTAATCAAGAAGGCAGAAGAAAAAGTGCCTGTGACTCCACAAGACTCGCTACAGCCATCCTTACTATTTTTGAGCGCTGTTTATCTGGCCTGGATTATATAGTTATGAGTTCCAGAAGCAGCCCGGATGGTTCCTTGAAGAGGTTTCTATTACGCTGCTAAACCGCCAAAAGACCAATAGCCCGCAATTACGTTTTCACGAAGCGATATTCTATATTCTGCCTTTCGAAGAAAAAAATATAAATATTTCCATTCCCAGTCTCGATGATCTATATATATGTAATCGTTACTTGTATAGTATATGCATGCACAATTCTATATATATATACACGGCGTAAAATCTAAAGCCCAATATCCAATGTATCGACTAGCATTCGCGTCAAGAGTGTCACCTTTCTACATTATCGATCGTGCGTACCTTTGCTACAATTGTACTGAAGCTACCGCTTCCAATGAGAAACAATCGCACATGAAAGCTCTCCCTTAAGTCGCATCTGGTCACGTAATTGACTTTAGTCACTTGGAACTGCACTTGGTACAGTTTTCATGAAGATAAAAACGCTACAGAGACACACGTCGCCAGACTGGTTTATCGCGCGGCGAAAGCAAATAAAAGTCCGTAGTTAGAGAAACACCTGGGTGGTGGCGACGGTGGCGCAGGCAGGCGTCGTGTCGTGTCACGGTCGAGTTATTATTAGCAAGTCAACCGATTTGTAAAACGGACAACAACCACCGCCGTAGAATTCGTGACGGAAAAGAAATAAGCGCAAGATCGCGCTCGGCTTCCGCAGTGAGAAGCCGCAAAGATTCAAAGAAATATAATTCTCACGAAGCAATCTGGTAGAGATAGCAGCACCTACAGATTTCGCCGTTACCCACTGCAGTTATATTGACATCGAGAACCCCGCGCCACACGTAAATCAGCGACTAAAAAATGATGTAAATGACTCAAAGAAACCATCAGCATGTCTAGCCCCAAAAAATGGTTTCATAATAAAGGTTAGTTCACAGGACACTACACGAAAATAGAATCCCTTACATGCCATTTGATTGTGGTGTGATGCAATCCTAAATTAACGGCCCGTCGTTAATATCAATAAATGAACGACTACTGTTGGATAACAACTGACAATTTTGTCAATGACTGTACGGAAGGTCCTGCCAACGCGATGTAGCCTACAAACATAGGGAACATGGCTATCGATTTCAGTGTGGTATGCACGAGGGCATTGTGGAATGTGCCTTACATGTTATATAATGCCGACGGGTGCGTACACAATGGCAAGTACATACGTATATACAAATAATATATATAGCAACGTGTAACACGGATTGCAGGTGACTCTCAGTGCGGACGCATTGTTGTACGCTTTGCAGAGTGACTAGTGATAACACATTACGGAATGGTCGAATCAATGTTAATAATTAATATAGACAAGCTCCAATGATACATTCCACCCTGATAATTAAGATTTCATTAAATTTCATGATACATCGATGTTGATGGCAACGAGATGATTTTTCGTGTACATTGTTTACGTGTCAAATGGAATTTGAAAAATTTCCATAGCGCATCCGACGAAAGTAAATCGTTACGTAAAGCGTGACGAAAAATTCAAAATAGCCGCTATCAGTCAAGGCTCAAGGATTTACTGTTATCAGTGACATCGCTCGCTACACGCATAACTTAATAATACATTAAATCGCGATAGAAGGACACATAAAAGTTCATTACGCAATATGGGAGCAAATTAAAATTCGAGCAAGATATGCGCATATATAGATATAAAAAAATGCATTTTTTAAAAATCAATGCTGACACCACCTGTCAAAGTGACATTAGACGTGAGATAAAAAAAATAAAAAATAAAATTTGCACCGCGTTATGGTAAGTCATGGAATGTGAAATGTGAAGTAAAAATGAAAATAAAATAACATCCAATGTGGATTTTGAGAAATTTTTTTTCAGTTGACCAACAAAACAAACGAATAGGGAAACGTCAGGCAACAACGTGCCTACTGCACGAGATTACGTCGTGGATCGATAAGGAAGTCAAGAGCACGGTATAGGTTAGGTGTAGGTTAGGTTACGGCTGCATTGACGCGCGAGCGTAAAGAATGACGTAAACTTGTCAATTTATCGCGACGAAATCTACGGCTGCTACGAGGATTTTGAACGAGGCACGCAGAAAAGGTTCATCGTAGTGACCGATCCCGATTATCATTTAAATATCCCGATATTTCTCTCCATATACATTGGTCGTGCAGCAAGCATTTGAATATTTTGTCAATTAAGCCCAACGTAGCTGCTTTACATAGGTGAAACGGGGTTACCAACCGATACGCGACCATTATTATTTTCCTCGAGCGATCTGGGACCCGAACGATCTTGATCTCTGGATAAGAGGTCGGAAACCCATGACAGTGAAAAGAAGACTGGGTATATTATTTCATTTTGAAAAAAAAATACCATCTCCAAAAAATCTATTCCGTATACAAAGTTTCAACAGGACCAACATTTTTCCATCATTATTGGCTGTTCTGCACGGATAAGCAAGCTCTTTTATTGAACGTCATCAATTAAAATAACCCACTTGCGGTGTATTAATAAAAATGAAAATCCAATTTTGTATATTAAAGTCAATTCCATTTATATTATTACGACTGTCATTGTCATTAATCAATAAGCCAGTATCTTTAAACACATCTTTAAAATTCAAGCAACAAATTACTCGTAAGTACGTCCTACTATATTTAAAATCTATCAACATCAAATTGCGCGAGAAATTATTTTTTTAAATGCCCAATTTCACAAATTGAAGTCCCACATATCTCCTCCTTCGCCCCCTTCAGCCCCGGCGAACCCCTGTTAACTTAACCAAAAAAAAATTATACGATCGCTAATATTTACTCGGAGCATCCTAAAAAGAAACTCCCCACGAATGTCCCGTGAAAGTCCGTGTTAAACGATACCAATCGAAACTGGGTAACCCTTGAACCGTAGGTGCGCATGCGCTCTCAACTTCCGGTGGGCAACGTAGACGCAAGGAGGGCGCCAATCGCAACGATAGTGGGAAGACAAAATTTACATAAAATCGTAAACACAAAGAGTCCACCGTCTCCCCCCCCCCTCCCCCCGAGGGGGCCCTCACCCATAATGCACGCGCTTATCCATTCTGTCTATATATATATATATATATATTCATCTGTCTATGCGTCGGTACGCCGAGCATCGTGTTGTAATCGGGACATTTGCATCGAAGGCGTAGCGACAATACGACTCCGACGTTCATTCGTATATTGTTTAAAGAGCGTCGCGACGCTAGCGTCCCGCCGTGAATACCCTGTGGTCGATAATGTTAATCAATGGCCGTAAAGGACTTCCTTTTCAGATAAGTAACGTGATTTAGCGGGTTTAAGCGGTTTTACAAAAAAAAAAAAAAATCTTGGGTAATGTTTACATACGAGCGAGAGAGTGTGTGAAAATATATATTTTATCGTTCACACCCGTTATACTCTGTATATGCTACGTAATCGTTAAAAAGCGCATAGACCGGGTTAAATATCAAAGTGGACAGAGTCAAACTGGTTTAGGGAAATTTTGACTTCCTTTTCAGATAGTCACCGAGATTGTACACCTAGATTGTATAATGTAGAAAGCTTAAGGTGCACACGTATACGCACTGCCGAGTGAGTTTAGTGCGCATCGGAATGATGTGGCGGTCAGGGCGAAGATTCTCTTTTTGAATTTTAGATCATGTAAACTCGTGCGTTCCGTATCAACGAGTCGACATCTTTCTGACACGGTTTAACGTGGTTAGGTCGTGGTGGCGGAACGCGCCGTCTTCGAATAACATAAGTCCTGCGTGGGGAGGGAAAAGATAGAGAAGAAAAAAATAAAGCTGAAAGAGAATCCTGGTCCATAACCTACGAGACGGCACCCAGGGTCCCAGTCTCACTTGCCAGATGCATTGAGATGCAAATGTGCGTGAACGTGATTTACGAGGGGCAGACATGTCCGAATGGAGGTAGAAAACATTTTCGAAAGCGTCCGAACTGCGGGACAGATAAAATCAGTGGTACCAAACCACAATGGATGAAGAACCCTAGGCAGGTATTTTGTAAGGGCAAATTTTCAATTTTTTCGATCCTCGGATGGTAACGTTCACACAGTAAAAGCAAGACAGGTAGTGGAGGAATTTTTTTAAATTACAAAAAAACATTTTGTATAATTCGAATCTTCGATTTTTGAATGTTAGGAAGCAAAGTTTCGGGTCCGTAGATAATTTTGAATGGTGACGTTAAATATTGATTCTTTTTTTTATTTTGAAAAATTAATTTCGAAATTGTCGGTCAACATCGTGGGGTTTTAAATTGCGCAAGTTGCTTTTTAAAAGTAACAAGTATGATATGAGAAAATTTGTGCAGAGACTGTATGTGCACGAGAGTAAAATGGTTCTTAACCGGCAACTATTTCGTAGAGAAGGTATTGACGCGGGTAGAACGCGATTAAATTGAGCAGACGGTGGCGTCGCGGCGCCGGCTGCGCGCCAGGGGGGTGACGGGCGAGAGGGAAAATTTATAAAGAACAGTGGGGGTAAACTACTTGTTGCGCGTAAAGTCGCGGCGCCCCCGTGACGCGGCGGCTTCCACCCCCTAACCTTACCCCGAGCCTCTCGACGTCGCGCGCCCTACCACCTACAAAAGCACTGCCGTCGACAAAAATAGACGCGGCGTCGCGACGCAACAGATATCATTTTGCCTCGCTGCAAATTCACTACCGACCTAATCACAATTCCTGACCCAGTTGAACGTCCGATTGATAATTTTTTTTTTTTTATATATATATATATATCCGCCAAACGTCTTTGCAATGATCTAGTTTGACATTTTGAAAATCTACAAAGTAAAATAATTCAATTGAAAACTCACCTGTATCTGATGTCCTGGATTGCTGATGTGAAGTTGCTGCGCCTGATTGATCTGGAGCGTGGACGTCCCTGGTCCCGAAGGCGGCCTCGGCGGGGTGGAACTTGAAAAGGATCCTTGCGAGCCACTTTGATTGGGTCCGCCTCCCTGAGATCCTCTAGGTGGCAATGGATATCCAGGACTTCCATGATTGGGCATAGAGCCAGGACTACCATAGGGTGAATACTGTTGTTTGTATCCGCCAGTAGGTCCCAACATATTTGGTTTACCTCCGGCAGGCTGGGGCCTCTTCATATCCGCCAGACCAGAGAATTGATTCTGAGTGCCAAACATGTCCGCGGCCTGTTGACTCTGAAAATTTGGGTTCCCATTGTTCTTATGGTATGCGGCATTACTAGGCGCACTCTGGTTCTGACTTCCTGGTGGACCCGTACTTCCAGGACTACCCAGGTAATCGGGCGTTCCAGCGAACTGAGGAAACTCCGCGTACGGCGACCTAGCGGTGGGCCCTCTAGAGGCCGCCGCACCAGGATTGAAACCTCCCAGACCCAACTGTTGACTCTTATGCTGATGTTGCTCAGCCATCTGCTTCAGAGTCTGAGCAGCGGGACTCATCTCAGACTTAAAATCCAAACTGGAGTAGGGCAGCCTCGCCGGCGAGTACTGCGAGGAACCAAGTGCACCAGGACTGGAGTTGGACTGTACCGTGGTACCGTTGTTGTTATTATTATGCTGATGAATAGCATCCTTATCATCCTCGATTTTAATCTGTCCATTGTTGGTAACGTTATTAGCTGCATTGTTAGCCAAAGTATCCACGCTCTTGTCCTCAAAGTCAAAGTCCTTCATGAACTCAGGATGGAAGTCCGATATCTCGGAGATTAGATCCTTGAAGGCATCCGAGGTAATGATCTCGTCTCCGGTGTCGTCGCCGATGAAGTCCGAGAATCCCGGAAAACCGGCGCCGTTCGCCGCGGCATCCTTTTCCAATGCAGCCGCGCACTGTTCCAGGTCGACGAAGTCGTTATCAGGCTCCTGTTTGCACTCCACCAGGTTACCGATGTCCACGCATCCGATACCACCGCCACCGGGTCCTGCTTGGGAACGGGACCCTGCCGAAGCTGTTGCATCGGGTCCTGACTTCGGGGAGGAGGAATTCACCAGGTCGCTCTTCACCGAGGCATTCGTCAGGGCCTTCACCGTGACGTTCGTCGAGATCTGCTGGGCCTGCGAGTTCGCCGCCGACGTCGTGAACTCCAGCTGCTGTACGATCTCCACGGAGAACTTGGTGAGACCCTCGTTACCTCCTGGGGGAGGACCCGAGGAGTTGGCACCGTTACCGGGTTGATGTTGACCGTGTCCATGATGTGGAGGACCGCCACCAGGTGCTTGCTGCTGATGCTGATGTTGCGCCTGAGTACACTGAAGCTTCACCGGGGGTTCGCCAAACCCACCATCCCCACTTCCGCCACCGGTAGGCTCCAACTCCTCCGCCGTCCTCTTCAGGAATTTCTGCTGCTGAAACAACAACCAATCACGGACCGTTCAGTTTAAACAATCAAAAAGAAAACAAAGCGCGCGCGTATAATCACTCGTACAAGTATACAAACAAGAATTCAAATGATTTCATCTTCTCGGTCTATACGCTGCAATAGAAAAAAAATATTTACCAATTAGATACTAATTGTCATCCTCAGCGACGTCATCCTATTGGTAATCCGTTCAGGGTCGTAACCGGTAACGCAAGATATTTAATAGGTCGGCGTCCGTAACTTTTTCTAATTAGCCTGGCAATTTCTCACGAAGCCTGTCAATATCGAGTGACTTTTTCAACGCGGCTCTCCATAAAATTCCGCTCGGCGGCGCCACCGTCGATACCTTACGAATTTCTTATGCGCTATGACATCTTGGCCGCGACGTATAAATCCTCAGCCAACGAATACCCGCTAAATTAAGTGACTCCGGTAGCACGTGAGGTTATGTCGTGTCGCGGTATACGCGGAAGAACGACAGTGCTGCCACCGCAGAAAGAACCAACATAATTTCAATTCAACACAGCGAGTCTAGAGAATCTATCGCATACGTATACAAAAGCGCGATCGAACGCCACTAATAACTTCCCCTTCATTTGTACGCTACTGATTTCAACCGAGCGAGCTCGTGGGGGATAAATGAGTATATATTTGTCACGATTCGAATCGGGATAACCTCACTCTATCAACCTTTCAAAATCGATAATACGTATTATGCTTTAATAGCGAATCGACCATCCCTTGTCTACCCCCTATTCCACTGGTTTCCATTCTCATCCACTGCGCCGTCACCGCAGTCAAATAATTTTCATCGCCCCTTTTCATTGGTTATACGATATTCCATCAGACCGAACTGTGGAGAAGTAACGCCACTGTAGCCCAACGAGACTATGGTGCCGATACGCAGCGATATGAAGATACGTGATAAATAAAATAGAAAAAGCTACCCTTATATCGGTGTACGTAAGATTCTATTAAATTTTCAATAATAATAATAATAAATTAACTCTATCGCAAGTAGAATAAGGGCTCAGTGACTGCTATACTCGGCGAGGCAATTTCACGGGGCAGGTGGCATTCCAAAGGGGTCAAAGGGGTGTCCCGGTGCCTTGGCAGATAACGGTTTACCGAAAAAGAAGGAGAGAATGGCGTGGAAAGAGAGTCCAAGGAATGAGAGAGAGAGAGAGAGAGAGAGAGAGATATAAGAGACAAGGAGAAGCAGAGCCGCGTCAATATTGCCCTCATCCCCACTTGCTACCAATCCCTTTGCTCCCACGACAAAAACCCTAGCAACCCCTGGCGCGAGAGGATATAAGAGACAAGGAGAAGCAGAACCGAAAAAGAAGGAGAGAATGGCGTGGAAAGAGAGTCCAAGGAATGAGAGAGAGAGAGAGAGAGAGAGAGAGATATAAGAGACAAGGAGAAGCAGAGCCGCGTCAATATTGCCCTCATCCCCACTTGCTACCAATCCCTTTGCTCCCACGACAAAAACCCTAGCAACCCCTGGCGCGAGAGTTCAGCCAACCGGTTACCGTCTCGACATTCCAGGATGAGACAGTATATACACAGAGTGCTTGAGGTATTATCAGAGTTCGAAGAACGAAGAAAAAAAGATGAAAATATATTTTTCAAATATAAAAAATATATTTTTTTTTCACTTTCTTTTTTACGTTATATTTAAAATTTACACGCATTCGTCTCTATCTCTCAATCGATTGTATGACCTGAATGCCACCACTGGTATATTAGATTCGCGATGAGACTAGCTTGATATATCATGGCGGTGGACGTATCATGGAATTCGATATCAACTGATAAGACGAAGATGAGATGCGACGTACTATACATATATACATATAACACTGGGGTGGGCAATGCGGCACTACTGGTACCAACCCTTGGCATCTACTTTCCTAGAATGATCCTATGGAATTCATGTAATCAAGCCAGCACGTTGTCCGGATACCAAGGTTACTATCTAGACACCCCTTATAGGGTCTTGGTCTTATAGGACATCATCCGCCATTACTTCCGGGAAATTTCTATTTCATTTCGCGCTAGATTGCACTTTGCCTCTTAAGATCATTGGATGCTGAATTTCGTATGGTTGAGAAGTATTGAGAAATATTTTTAATTCAAATGCAAAAGTTGAGCTTGATAATAGGTATGCTGATTATGATTATCCGAGCGACTCAAAATAAAAGCAAAGTAAAATAAAAATTTTGAAAATACTGTAATGCATTTTTTCGAAACCCATTGTCATAAGTCGACGAGTCATTTGAATTACGTAGTCGGAGATACGCGGGTAAAGGATACTTCCGGTCTACTTGGAAAATTCAAAATCATCCGGAAGTATATGAAACCCTCCAATTCCACGTAACTGTCGATACGCGATAAGTTCGAGATTGAAAAACTTCCTAGAATTTCGTAGCTCGTGTATTCGTGATGAATTTTGAGAAAATCAAAGTCATTCCTAGAATCTGTCTACTCAAGCAGTATTAAGGTCAATACGGAAACGAGTAATTTTAATAAATAAATAATGAACCGTCACTCATTAAAATCTAAGTTAAAAGTTTTCCGACGACACAAAGTTATCATTATAAAAAAATGATAAAGATATTATTATCCCAAAATTATTTATACACACAATCCAAATACAATACCGAATTGCGATACAAACTACACAGTAAGATACATTGCCTCGAGTTTACCAAAGTTCGTTGAGCACTTTGCTTCTCCAACCGGAAGTAACGTTCGCCTCGCCATTGCGATGCCCCATTGCGATTATTATCTCGCAAACGGCAAGTGGCCAGAATCCTATTATCGTCACGTGGATACAGTCAATGGCGTAGAACCGCGTGATTTATCCACCCTAAGTATTGAAAATTAAAATTCCAAATGTAAAAAAAATAACAACTGACAGCCCACATAATGTCCTCAAACTAGATCCCTTTCTTTTAACCTCAAAAAAAATTCCACCCACCCGTTCCGTGTATATGTATTAAATGTACCGACAGTCGTACCACACTTTCAAAATTTCCCAGACTTACCAAGTAAACCCACGTAATCCAAGTAATCTACTTCTCCGCGACAAAACTCCAGGATAACTTCGAAAATGTATTCAAACTCCAGCGTCTAATTCCCAGTACGTGCGAAAGCGCGACGGTGCTGCCGCCACGCCTCAACGGTCGTCCGTCCGAAGCGAAGAACGGTTACCGTTACGCTGCAGTCTAAGCCGAAGCTAACACCCTAACGGCAGTGTCAGCCCATGGTTAAAAAAGAGATAGAGAGTAGATCGAAAATACCGTCATTTTCAGACGATACAAGACTCACAAATGTTTCCCCGAACAATCCATCCAGTACAAGCGAAGGCGGCCTTCTCGGAAAAGCAGTACCAAAAATAATATTCTCACCAGGAGTCAAAATGACGAAGTTCGCTGTAAGGCGCTGCCCCGCTTTAACACTGAGAAAAAGAAACCGGAAGTCCTATTCAGTCAGCGCCGAGAATTCCCCACAGCGAACGTAATATACGTCACCGCGTCGCATATTAAACTATCCAAAGTACATGTGCCTTTAATATACCCAATATCGATAAGTTAAACAAAAAAGAAAACAGTCGTCACCTTCCGTCAAATTCGCCCTAATCCGACGCTCGGAAAAGAATTTCATAAGAAAATAAAAAATAACTGCATCAGGTAACAGATTAGAAATTCAAATACGGCGAATCCTCAAGCAACGATTATCATGCGACGTTCGACTAGGATATCTCGATATGAATACAAATCCAGTAATTATACAGTTCCAATTTTACATAACTGATTGAAGTCTGGTAAAAGTCTGAAATACCTACGCATATACCCATACGTATAATACGCGGCCACTGTGTCACCAATAGCCAGAGAAAAAGAAGCAAGCAGCAGAAAAGAGACAGATGCGTATAATAGAGAGAAAATGGAGAGAAAAGAAAGAGAAAATAAAACAAGAATGAACGCCAGTGCAGACTGTCACAGAAAGAGAAGAAAATGTCTCAAGAGTCAAGAGAGCTATGAGCACTATGTCACTAACCTTGGCTACACACGTCTAACGTGGGCGAATGCACTGGTCTATTAAGCGTTACATTTCGTTAACATTGCCCGACATTAGGATATTCAGACATTGGAGACTGTTATCGCGACCTAAATATATCAGGTCATATACATATGTATATACACTAACCAGTTATATATATTGAATATATATAAAATATACAATTTAACCAATAAATACATAAAATATATACATACAATAAAAATCTCTCTAAGTAATTTATCAATAAATCACAACACCATTAATCCACTTCCAATTCTGCCACACCACGATCATTAAATAGCCAATCATAATTATCAATCCTATATGACATTTACAAGACTGCATATAAGTACTGATCGAGAAGAAAATTTGCACAATCCACACCTAACCGCATGTAGCAGATAGGAAAATAATATACGTTTATCATTACACAACGTATAAGACTCGTCAGTACAGTAAAAGTATGCATAAACCATCGTCCATACGTCCTGCCTCTATAAGGCACATGTGAAACTAACCTCAGTATGTATATATATATGTTCGCACTGACAGTGCACGAATCCTATCAGATCGGTATCGTGCTCGTGTCTAGACAAGAGAGTTGAGCTAAAGCCGAGGTTAATGAGATTCCAGTAGGTACGATTCTTGGATCATTCGATGCTGCATCTTCTATCACACCGTCTCCGGATCACCTTGGCATCACATGATGCCGTAATCCAGTGGCTAATGTCACCATTGTTCACAATGCATTGCGACAGTCCGGTACTGTTATGTGCCAAGCGAGTCTAGACTGTAGACAATAGTCTGCGCATAGTCAGTAGCCTCGTCGCTGGAAGTAATCTATGTATATCGACAGGTAATATCTACATATGCGAATCTGTAGATGTATGTACACGGGATTTTAATGCAGTAAAGGAA